GTGTCTTAGAGATAGAGTTAAGAATATAATTATATCTACTCTAGTAGAATAGAAGTCTATTAAGAAGTAGTTAGGTCTCTAAGTAAAATAAATATTAGATTAAATATACTCTTTATTATACTTAGATAAGATCTAAGAAGCGTAGGCTAGTAATTAAGTAGTAATAAATTTATATTAACTATAGATATAATAACGTAGGTATTCTAACTAATATAATAATAGTAATATATAAGCGCTTAGGTATATAGTTAGTAGTTAGATTTATAGCTACTTCTTTCTAATATATACTAACTTACTAAAAGTATCTTTTCTCTTCTTAGTCTTATTATTACTCTCTTTCTACTCTTTTATTTCTATAACTATTATTTTACCTTTTTCTAAACTTTTACTTATATAACTATAAATATTCTTCTTTTCTATAATAATAATGTTTTATAGCTTATATAGAGTTTTCTTTAGTTAAAGTAGTAAATAGTTAAACTACGTCTATTCTCTATTAATAGATATAATAGTTTTATTTCTTTTGTAATTATCTTATTACTAGACTTTATTAGTAATAGTATTAATAAGTAGACTAAGTATTTTATTCTATATAACCTATTAAATTGCAAGAAATATATACCTAGAAAGATTACTCTTAGTAGACGTTACCTTCTAAGTATTATCTTTAGCTAGTAGAATATAGTCTTTTCTTCTAATAGTAATAGATACCTTATTAATAACTAAAGCTATAGTTAAACTTATTAGCTTTATAGTTTTAATAATAGTTAACTAGTATTACCTTAGCCTATAATTATTAGAAGGTAGTTTAGATAGCGTCTAGTCTAGTAAATCTACTCTTTTATATAGTTTCTTATATTATATATAAATGTTAGCTCTCTAGAGCTAGTCTCTAGCTATCTATACTTACTTAAAACTATCTTTAGTACTAGACCTTAACTTTAGAATAATGTCTTAGAACTATAAAAGATTTTTCTTCTCTATTTAGTAAAGGCTAAGTTTATTAAGAATAGCTTCTAAGAAAGATTAGTATTCTAAGAATCTTAGAAGTATTAGCTACTTCTAGCTATCTAAAGTAACTAGAAAGCTTTCTTATTTCTATAAAGAAGGTAGAATAGTAATAGAGAATATAGCTATAGATAGTAACTTTTAGACTTACTAGCTTTTATTAGAGCTTAGAGCTTACTAACTATAACTAAAAGAGAACGTTTAAAATAAGATATAGAGTAGAGTCTAGTTCTAAATCTATATAGAAATTAGTAAGTTAAAGTAATAGTAGAAAGAATATAGTACTATAGAAGTTTATTTACTAGTATAGTATTTATAGCAAAGACTTCTCTATCTTCTATTCTTCTACTAGTCTTTCTTTAGATCTTTTATAAACTTACATCTATAGAATAGATCTAGATATACTTCTAGTCTATTAGCGTCTCTAGTAGATAATAATAAATTAGTAAAGCTATTATTAGAAAGTTTAAAGTTACTATTATATATATATAATAAGTATACTTAACTTATACTAAGAAGAGATTCTCTAGTAAAACTATAAAGTCTAAAAAGTGTTAGTAATATAAGGTAAATAGAGTTACTAAAGTAAATTAAAGAACTAATAAATTCTTATAGATAGAAATACGTATCTATTTATTATTTATTAGAAAGTTAGAGTTTATAGTAGTAATTAATTAGAACTAATATATTATCTATATATTAGAGTATAATAAATAACTCTATACACCTAGATAAGTAGATAGCCTATTCTTTCTCTAGCTAGCTTAATATTACTTACTCTCTCTTATATTAATAATTAGAGCTATAATAAGCTCTTATTATAAGTAGCGTATTAATATAGAGTTAGTTAAGAATATTAAAGGTTATCTTCTACTTATTATAAAATAGATAGTAGAGTTTTTTACTTTCTAAAAGCTATATAGTATTCTTATAACTAATCTTAGTAAAAATAAAGTTAATATAGAGCTTATTAGAAGTTTGTGTATATTTTTATATCTCTTTATTATAGAAAATGCTTTTAAGTAGTTTACTAATAAACTTTATCTAGGTTCTAACTATACTACTATAGATAGTAGGTTTATTATTAATCTACTATATAATTTTCTATACAAAGACTTAATATTAGCGCTAAAGTAGGCTAAGAAATAGTTAAAATACCTAAAGCTAGAGCTACTTTAGATATACTAATTTAATATAAAGATAGGTATTATTAATCTAAAGCTAGGTTAATAGGCTCTATTCTTTATAGTAATAGTCTCTAAATTTCTAAAATATCTCTATATTATTCTACTACGCTACTAGGTTAATCTTAATATAGTAAACTACTAACGTATAAGAACTAAAGTACCTTTACTATATACTAATTAAGAGATTATATTTAATAACCTTTTAGCGCTCTTTACTATATACAAAGATTAGATCTATAATACTTTTACTTTTATTTTTTATGCCTTATAAAGTAAGGTAATTTATATTAACCTAACTAATAGAGTTAAATTCTATAGCTAGTGTATACCTAACTCTAATATAATAATATATAACCTTCTTAAAGTTTATTTAAAATTATAGAATTTATTAAGAAATACTATTAACTAGTTATTAGATTTCTTAGAAGACGTATCTAATATACGTATTGCTTTTAATTCTATAGAGCTACTAGTATATAATATATTTCTTATTAACTAGAAGAAAAACGTATTATATAATATAGAGTATAAGTATACTATATAAAGAAGTAATATAAAGTTTAATAAAGAATAGATTAATTCTAAGTTTAACTAGCACTTTCTCTTCTACTAATCTAAAGATAACTTAGTTATCTATACTTACTATAATAAAAACAATCTAGACTTAATAGTTATAGACCTTTATATAATTAATATAACTAAACCTAGTAGTAGTTTATAATTTAATAACGCTATAAGAGTAAATAGTTATATAGTAATATTAAGGCTTTATACTAAATAGAATAGTATTACTAACTATAATTCTATAGTACTAAAGAGCTTTAGTAATAAGAGTTCTAGTAACTACACTACTAGCGTCTCTATAGTAGTAACTTAGACTAGTCTTTTATTTTATAATAAAATTAATAAGTAATATTATAAACTAGACTACTATAGCTATATTATTTTATATAATTACCTATATAGTAATATAATAATAGTTAAATATACCTAGCTTACTAAGAAAGTAGAAAGATATAAAACTAGTAGTATACTCTCTATATCTTTAGTAGGTAGTACGTAGACTAAAAAGTATATTATAATAAGATTTCTCTTTTATTATGCGCTAGTAGACTCTAAGTTAGCTAATAAAAAGTTAATATTATAACTATTTAAGCCTACTATAACTATAAACTAGAATTCTTCTACTTATATAGCCTAAGACTTTGTCTATATTATAATAACTAGACGCATTTCTATTCTAGGCAAAATTTCTAGCTTAGATACTACTATTCTTCTTCTATCTACTAAAATAAGTATTTTACTAGACTTAAGAAATTATAAAGAATATAATATAAGAAATCTACTAAAGTAATAGACCTACTCTTAGCCTTAAGTATTTAGTAGAGATTTTTAAAATAGTAACCTCTAGTTATTACTACTTAATTACTCTTTCTTAAAGAATAGTATAAAGTCTCTAAGTAGACTCTATAACTTTAATAATAGTTTAGTGTATTAATACTTTTATAATCTCTTTAAGTAGAGTAATTCTAGTATACTTATAACTATTTATAGGCTATTAAGTATTTTATAGTAGTAATAGAATTATAGAGACCTATAATTAATAAATAACTTTTCTTTTTATTCTATATACTAGTAAGTTATAACTTAAACATTTCTCTTTATCTTTTACTAAAGCGTATCTAGCTATAATCTAGATATTTTACTAACTCTTACTAAACTACTATAGCGTATTTTAGCTAGCTAGAGTTATTTATATAGACTCTAAATAAGTGCTTTTATTATTAAATACTAGAAGAAATTCTAGAAGAAGCATAATAAGATCTAATTAATAAGAAAAAGCTAGAAATATATTCTTCTTAAACGCCTTACTATATATTATCTTATAAATAAATCTAACTTTAGAATTATACTATAAGATTTAATTATATTATCTAGTCTTACTATAGACTTTAAGCTCTATTATAATTACTATCTAAGTAAAAAGAGCTATAGATTTCTTTACTCTAATCTTATATATATATTACCTAATAAAAACTATAGTTATAGAGAGTGCTATAAACGCTAAGTAATAGACGTAAAGTTTATTTCTTATATAATTATATACTTTCTATATAAACTTATATAAGAACTCTATATATTTACTACGTTCTAAGCTTATATTCTATATTATAAGTATTAGAAATCTAGAGAAATATATAATAATAAAATAGAATTATATAATAGATATAAAGAGATATAGGCTCTCTGTAAGAGAGAAGCTTATACTACCTACTATAAAAATAAAGATAAATAGTTTTACTCTTAGAACTATAACTAGGTATATTATAATAATAGCTATACTAACGTTATTTTCTATTCTAGAAGTAGAGAAAAGTATAACGTATAGTAGGTAGCGTAGAAAGCTATTATTAGAGAAGATGCGCGTATTACTATATACGTTAAATATTAGTATAACATAAAAGATTATTTATATACTAATAATTAGGTTTATTCTTTCTATTAGCTATAAATTAATTAAAGTAAAAAGGTAGTATATAAATAGCTAAGATATAACAAGTTTATTATATGCTCTTAGAAGAAGTGCACGCTTACTTATACTACCTAAGCATTTAACGTAAAAAACCTAGATAGATAAGTCTTTTCTTAACTAAGAAGAGGTAGGTATATAGTTTCTTAGTTCCTATATAATTAGTAGTATTTAAATTTAACTTTTACTTTCTTAACTATTTACACACTTTGTACCGCCACCTTATGGTCTATGGTCTCCGTGGGAGGTCTGATACGCCCCAAGTGATGGTTCACTCATACTACGTTTGTGTATAACGCGCTGATGTGGTACAGCTGAGTTGGGTGATGGGAAGCTTGTGATAAGTTCGCTGCACTGGGTGAGTTAGACGCTGGGCTCTTAACACCGTCAGCGCGCACATACCGTAGCTGTCCGCGGTAAGACCAAGTTTGAAGAGGCCCCCGCACTCATGAGATCAGCTCCGGTTGCGTAGTCATCCTTATGCGCCACCTCATATAATGTTGCTGGTATGTCGAGTTCGCGTGAGTTTCTTGGTGCCATGAGGACGCGGTCCCGATCGCGCGAGGGAGCCAATGGGGAGATAGCAACCGGGGATCCTCCCAGGGCAGTCACAATATGACCTTCGTCTATAGCAGGCGAGATAACACTGGCGCCATCGAGCTCTGGTGTGATTGGCGGGAAATATGAGGGGATAGGTGTAGCTGTTGGCCTGGGAGAACATGCTTCAGATTCCAGATCGCTCGTCCGGCCGTAAGCTTCCATTTGCGCAGTGATCTTCTTCAGCTTTCGAATGTCGCTCTTGTAACCTTTGATGTCGAGCTTGAAGAGAATGATTTCCCTAACGTAGAAGTCGATCTCCTGTCGCAAGCTCTCCATCTGCACATCCGGAGTATCGGCAAGAGCCTTTCCCTTCTGTTTAGATTGCTCCCTCCTCAAGCGCTCGTGGAGCCTATCCATCCACCTATCGATGTCTTCCCGTCTTGCAATGGAGGCAAGCTCCGGCCAGCTGTCTTCCCCTTCCCCAGCCATGTGAAGCTTCATTGCCGCATGCCGTCTGATTTCAGCCTGCAACAAGAGTTTGTGATGCTCCAGCTGCCTTTCCACTGTACAAATGACCCTGTCCTTCTCCTCAATTACGGATTCGCGATTCAGGATTGCGGCTCGAAGTCTTTCCATATGCGTGTCTGGGTGGTGTGTGCCTGAACGACTGGCAGTTGTCTTGTGCTCCTGTTCTAGCTCGCTGTGTGCCCGTCGTAGCTGTTCTCGCTCTTTCTCCAGTTTCGCAATGCGATGATCTTTCTCCCTGACCTGGTCTTGCAGACGCTCAATGTGCGCAACAAAAGAAGCTAGCGTTGCGTTCTCTTGCGAGTCAAGCTCTGAACTGATCGGCGAAGCACTCGAGAAGACCGTACTCATACTCATACGTCCATCGGAAGTTGGGTGGCTCGTGCTAGGTGGTCCTTTTGAGATGAGGTCGAAGGGTGATTTCCCATTCACTAAATTCGAAAGTTGCTCTTCCGCGTCCAGTCGCTCAGTGTTGGCGATCTCGAGACGGCTCTCGAGATGATCAATAGTGTTTTGCAGAGCCTGCGTGGATTTGGCAAGCTTGTCAGCGTGCGCTGCCTTGTCCTCGAACTCAGCACATCTCATCTCGGTCAGTCCTAGTGTTGAACGAAGCTCTCTCTCGCTTTTCTTCGATTCGTTCAACTTCGCCATCAATGATTCGATCTGCTGTTGGAGAGCGACATTGTTTTGTCTGTACTGATTGAGCTCTGGGAGCAGGTTCCGAGTTGTCGTTTCTGGCCGACGTGTGGCGCTGAGCTTCCGCTTCAAGCTCTCCTGACAGTCCAAATTAGCAGTGGGTTTCAGAAGGAGAGCAGGTGTATCATTACCATCTCTGGGCTGCTTTCTGATCGCCGGTGTGAACGCTGTTTGCTTTCAAATTCGATCGGACAGACAAAGTCGGGGTCTTTCGTAATCGGCGGGGTTTCGCGAATCGACGTGTGTGGCGGCTCAGCGCTATCCGAGACAAACGAAGTATTATTCCTCGACGCTAGACACGTTTAGCATGCTGAACTGATAGCTGGTGTCACGGGTGCACAGCTCGAAAAGCCATACTGGTTGATCCAACACGTTGGAAGAGAGCGTCTTCACAAAGCAGTGAAGTGTAGTGGTGGACTGGAAAAGGATACTTGGAACGATACTCACCCTGGTGCAGGCCGTGCTTGCTGTTCTGCTCTTGAAGCAACCGAATGTGATCTTTCAGAGATGCAACCTCCGCAGAGTGTGCGTCCACGAGGCTTGCAACTTGTGCTTCGTGCGACGATCTCAAGGCGGCGAACTGAGATTGTAGGACTGAGTTTTTCTGATTCTGTGTGGCAATGATCGCTTTTAGCTCGTCGATCTGGTTGCTACGCGTCGATGAATTGGTTGCAGTAGACGCCTGGGTATAGTTAGTATTTGGATGCAATACATGCTGGGCAACTAAAACGGCCCGAATTGGCCATTACGAGGCAGAGAAAGAGGCATGGCGATGAGACTAGTGGTGACGGTTTGTGTGCAAGTGCCGCCCGCGCAACGTGAGAATGTGAAACCTGACACCACCACTATTCGCCTGCCAGGCCTCCGATCCGCGGATACAACAATACATTGCCAGCGAGCAGCCAGAAGCCATGGCCTGACGGCAGAGAAGTACATCTAACTCAGGCACACATCGTCGCATCAGAGTTGGAGATGGTACACAAAGAAGTTCTGAAACTGTTTCGTTATGCAGTCTTCTTGTTTGTCCAGTAAATACGCCTCTATCAAGAAACAAACAGCACTCACTTCATTTTGACTGTTGCGTCGGCGCTTTTCGGTATCCCGATCACGTACTTTCTTCTCTTGGACCTGCCGCATCTGACTAGAACCATGCCTGCCACTTCTGTTTGTCGAAACCTTTCCGTCCATGGCAGAGAGCGCAGTAATCAGGTCCGGTCTCGAACGTCTCCGCATTCCGGTTTTGTTCAAACACTTGTCATCCAATGCCGCTGGTAGACCGGCTTGGGCCATAACACGTGAATCAAGTGCATCGCCGATAGGAACGTTTCTCATGATGCTATACCGCGAGCTTAGTTCTGGAACGCTTCTCGTATGATTCAATGGTGACGAGACCAAATCCAATGCATTCAAGCATGTACTCCCGTGGCTCAAGCGCTTGTCAAGTGGGTAACTCTCCCTTCGAAAGAGCTGGATTGTGGGTTGGACGGACACTGGAGTCGTACAGGATGGAAACCCTTGATTCTCTAAGAGAAGAGAACCAGGGAGCTCAGCGGGTAGTTCTGCAATCGATGGTACCGAGGCGGACCGTGGGCGACTGGGCAGAGGCTTTTCTATGGAGGCAGATCTCGAGCATGCAATCGTACTGGGCACCGGAGAGCGCAACATGTCGCTAGACGCAGTCTGGAGGGTCGTGACAGTCTTGAACACGGCTGTATCGTACTGGGGTGTGATAGGACTGGATACATGTTGTCTGTCGTCCGATGGAAAGATGACGAGGTTAGTTGAACGTCGTTTTTCAACTTTCAGCGTAGTCTGGAAGAGATGATTAGCGAATGGTAAGGCACCACAAGACAGCTGCAGACACCGACTTCCAGACGGTCGCTGACATTGGTGTACGGGTCGTCTCGTTGTGCATAAGATGTCGTTGTCTTTGGCAGCGCACTGACATGGTTCTGTGCCTGTTATCGTACCTTTGCTTCAACGTCGGTGTTGGACTCGGGCTCAATCGACTCAATCGATAGCAACCCCCCAGTGCGATAGTAGGGCTCTGAACTAGACTGGCGTTTTGACCAGGAAAGGATTCGCTTGGACGGCATTGCGCGATCGTTGCGCACGCCGCACTCAGTGGCAGCAATACAGCGGAGGCATGAAGATAGGATGGAAACTACAGGCGCTCGGGCTACGATATGGTGCGAAGAGAGAGAGATAGGCGGAAAGGCAATCGCCAGAGAGTTTGCGGGCACTGGGACGATGGTTTGGCTACGTTTGCAAGGCGCCCATCTTGGCCGCCTTCATAACGCCCGCTGTCATGTTTCGGGGCTGCAAACCACGCCGTACCTGTCTGGATCCGGCTGAAGACGCTGCTGCAGGGGCCAAATGGGCCGACTGGGTGGGAGAGAAACACAAGCTCCTTGCATATCGTATACATAGGCGCCTTGGAGTGGATAGTGGCGCCGCCGTGTACATGCAGCGAATAGACGAGATGAAGATGAGGCGCGGTAGCGCGACGCCGTGACGAAGTTGCAGGAAGCTTGGGCCTCTGGGGAAGTCGCGACCGACAGCTTCAATCGCTAACCGGCTATTGCGTACTAGTCACATTCCTTTCTGCTTCTTTGCGCAGCCCACTACTAATTACGGTGTAATGGTCTAGCCGGCTACCACCGCAGTGCAGGCGACTTGGCGCCGCCCCCAGGAAGCCCGTTGACGTTGGCTGTATCCACCAGCCACTAGAGAAAAAGTTGGGATCGTCATTGCGCCCCCAATCTCGACACCGCGACTGCGCCCCAGTGCTCAGCAATCGGGCCCGATATGGCGAGAGACCTGTCGCCCTACAGCGCGCGACGGCTGCTTACGCAACAGCTAGTCCAAGGCCAGACTGCCTCGCCCCCGGCAGTCGAGGGCAGGAACGGAAGCCCGAGCAGGTTGTCGAGACATGTATCCGAACGCGTTGGGAAGGAGCCTTCGATAGCATCTGGTCGCCGCTCGAGAAGTCGATCGAGAGAGAGGAAGCCCGAGGACGTACCGAACGCCCGTGAGCCAAAGGCCACGACAGTCGAGCCAAGCGCTGTCCGCAGGCGGGAACGGTCGCCGGAACCATACAGGAAGCCACGAGGTTCCTCCAGAGAGAAGAAGCGTGATGGATCAAGAGAGCGGAGGAAGGACCGATCCAGAGACAGGCGACGAGACCGGTCACGCGACAAGAGGCGAGAAAGATCGGGCGACAGAGAGAGAGATCGCTCGAGGGACAGAAGGCGCGATCGCTCCCACGAGAAGGACGGAGACAGGAACAGAAAGCGCGATCGCTCTACGGACAGACACGGCCGGCGAGATCGCTCGCGGTCCAGAGAGCGACGCCGCCGCGACAAGTCCAAAGAGGGCAGACGTTCACGCTCGCCCATACCGTACCGTTCTCGCAAACCGCGCACCCGCTCGCCCTCTGCATCCACATCTCCACCGCCCAAACGTCACCGGCGCACACGCTCTCCATCGCCTTCGCGCTCACCGCCGCCCCACAAGCGGGCCAAACAACCGCTACCTTCACAAGAAGTCTCCTTCCGGGGGCTTGACGACTCGGCCCAACCACCCTCCAAGTATGGCGGCGCACCGCCTGACAAGGAGAAGCCCAACTTCAAGCCTACTGGCGCGCTAGCCAAAGCTGCCAACCGCGTAGAAGGCACCAAGATCTCCCTCAAGTACCACGAGCCGCCCGAGGCACGCAAACCGCCCGCTTCACAACCCTGGCGCATCTTCGTGTTCAAGGGCGACGATGTGCTAGAGACCATCGAACTCTGGAACAAGAGCTGCTGGCTACTGGGACGATCTCGGGAAGTCGCCGATTACGTTCTCGACCACCCTAGCTCAAGTGGACAGCACGCAGTCATCCAGTTTCGGTACATACAAAAGACGGTGGAAGACGAATTCGGTGTCAAGAGCCACAAGGGAAAAGTCAAGCCCTACATCATTGACCTGGAAAGCAGTAATGGCACAGAGCTCAACGGAGAGGATCTCGAGGCGAGTCGCTACTTTGAGCTGAGGGACAAGGACATACTCAAATTTGGAGGCAGTGAGAGGGAGTACGTCGTCATGCTGCCACCAGCAGAGTCTAAGTAGGAAGGAATGAACATAGCAGAAGCCACAGACGACCATTGCGCAGTTGCAATAACAATTGCGGGTGTCACATACAAATCTCTCGCTGTCATAGAAGCTGAGTCCAGATGTACATAATAGAGAAAGAAAAAACATGTCAAATCATACGTGGATGAACATCACCAAGGGGGTGGGTTGTGTCGCTATGTATCGAAGATGAAGCTAACATTGCCATTATGTCTCGAATATGCTCCAAACATCATCAGTGGCCTTGGACAGAATGTATCTGAGGCATGTTGACGTTGAGGTACGCGATCCCCTTGATAAGTTTCGTGTTAAATCAAGGTACGCGCCGAGTAGGTGAATATGATGACCGTACTAAAGCTTCCTCGGGCTAGCTATCGTGCTCCGAACTCAGCATCCTCGGATCGCATTCTATTCTCCGTCGCACTTGTCTTGATGATGCAATGATGGGCGTCCGGACGTGGAGAGCGGCGCGTAATCAGGTACAGGGTCCAGTGTACGACAAGGATGCCGCCTCCCGACTTGGCAGGAACCGCCGTCATCAGCCTCCCCACAGTTCGTAATGCGCAGACATCGTCTTGCGCGTCCGTCTTCTTCCCTTCTTTATACCCCTTTTTACTTAATTCTTGTAATACACCATGGCGCTTTTGCGACGCTATGGGCTATACACCGTCCTCGCCGTGGGCTTCCTGTACATGCTTTGGTCCCTCAGCTTTCCATACGAGCAGCCTGGCGACGCGCCTGTAAACGCCGACAAAGGCCCGGAGAGCCAGCAAAGCCAACAACCAAAGAAAGAGCAAAAGTACAAGTCTTTCGATTGGACAAAGGTCCCCTTCAAAAACCGCATCGAGTCCCTCGTTCCACTACCAGCCGGCGAACCGAAAGCCTTACCACCCATACAATTCAACTTTGGACAAGAAGATGCTACGGCCAAGAACATACGCGAGACGAGGAAGGAAGAGGTTAAGAAACAATTCCTGAAATGCTGGAAGAGTTACAGAAGCCACGCATGGATGCACGACGAAGTCCGACCTATAAGCGGAGAGGCAGCGGATCACTTTGGAGGCTGGGCGGCCACCCTCATCGACGCGCTCGACACACTATACATAATGGGCTTTGAAGAGGAGTTCTCGTCCGCCATCAAGGATATCGAACAAATCGACTTTGGATACACCGATTTGGACCACATCAATGTGTTCGAGACGAACATACGGCATTTGGGTGGTCTTCTGGCAGCTTTCGAGCTTAGCGGGGACCAGAGGTTATTGAACAAGGCGAAGGAGGCGGGCGAGATGCTATACCATGCATTCGACACACCAAACCACCTACCAATCACGCGATGGCAATTCCGTGCAGCGGGCGAGGGCAAACCACAGGTAGCGGACGAGCAGGTCCTCCTTGCGGAGATCGGAAGTCTGACCATGGAGTTCACACGCCTCTCGCAATTGACCGGGGACCCGAAATGGTACGACGCGGTCAACAGGGTAACCAGACTTCTCGAAGAACAGCAGGACAAGACCAAGCTACCGGGCATGTGGCCTCTCATTGTCAACGCTCGAACTGCGGACTTCACTGCTGACAGTGGGTTCACCCTGGGGAGTATGGCTGATTCAACGTACGAGTATATTGGCAAGCAATATGCGCTGCTCGGTGGTCAAGACGCCATCTATCGCAAGATGTACGAGAGAGCGATGGACACGGCATCCAAATATGCCTTGTTCAGGCCATCAACCCCAGAGAACTCCGACATGCTCATGTCAGGATTTGTCCGTGCCGAAGGTGCGACAACGGCGTTGGACCCAGAGATGCAACACTTGGCATGCTACACAGGTGGCATGTTTGCCCTCGGCGGAAAGCTATTCCAGAACGACGAACATGTCACGATCGGTCGGAAGTTGGCAGACACTTGTGTTTGGGCCTACAAGGCATCGCCCGCAGGTATCATGCCGGAAGTATCGCA